GCCTGCACAGAGGCGCCAGGAGGAAGGCACAGCCCTAAATTCTGTGGGGACTGTTTCCAGCAGAGCAGAGCCTCCATTAGCATATGAAAGGCGGCTTGGGGACTGGCCAGGCTGTGACTAGGATACCAGACGTGGCTGGAGACTGGTAGGGGTGGGGGTGGGGGTAGGGGTGGGAAAGGCCCAACTCACATTTCCTGAACTGGGTGCAGAGCAGCTGCTGCCCAGCCCAGCCCCCTCTCCCACTGCACCTCCTCACAGGACACCCCCCGGGGGAGGGGGGCAGGGGGCGGGGCAGTGCCCACGGGGCTTGCCTCACCATCCTTAAGTGACCCCGACCCGCACGCTTCCAAGAACAGGAACTGTGGGGAGGGACTTCTCTCCCTGACCAGGCAACATCAGGCCACTAGGGGGTGAAGAGCCAGGTCCCCTGGACGTGTTCCCCGTCTTATTTCTGAGGCCCTGCAGCTCAGATGACCTCCATTCTGCTTCCGAGGAAAAGACAGGACCTGCGCACTGCGTTTCCCCTTCCCCCGCAAGCTCTCTTCTGGCCTCTTGGCTTCCTTTCACTTCTGACTCGGATTCCTGTCCTGGGCATTCGCTACCAACTTCCTGTCCGGGCAGAGCCGTTGCTGCAACCCAATCTGAGGCGGCTTGTACACCTCGGACGCTCCCTCGGGCACGGGACCCGCGGACAGGAAAACGCCACGTCTGTGTCAGCCACTCGGCAGCCAGCTCTGCGCTGTGGCCCAGGCTCCGGGCCCAGCAGGGTCCCTGGCGGATGGCGGTCAGGATTCTTGCAGCCCTGAGCGCGCTGTGCGTCTGTTCGGGAAGGAAGGATGGGACCTCCGTGCGCTTCTTGCCTCCCAGACAGAGCCTGTCCCTGGCTCAAACCCAAGGACCACGGGAGGCCTGTCCCACTCAGGAGGTTGGGGGAGAGGGAAAGGGAAACATCAGTGATGAGAGAGAATCATTGATCAGCTGCCTCCTGCACGCCCCCTACTGGGGATGGAGCCTACAACCCAGGCACGTGGGAATTGAACTGTGACCTCCTGGTCGTAGGTCGATGCTCAAGCACTGAGCCACGCGTGCCAGGCATAGAGGAGACTCTTAAGACATCGGTGCCCTTGCAAGTTCACTGGGAACAGGGAAGGTGTTGGCACTCTGGCAGGAGTTTCTTCTTCTCATTGTTGCGAGAGGAGCTTGTAAGTGGCAAAGCCAAGATCCCAGGTGTCTTTGCATGGCACCAGAGGGCACAGTGCCCAGGGTCCAGGGGACTTGGGGGCCTTTTGCAGGAGCAGCAGCCCGGCTCCCACGGGCGGCTCAGCCCAGCCCCTCCGCTGTGGTGTGTGGCAACGGCTTCTCCGTGGAGCCCGCCTTCTGTGATCAAATCCAGCCAATCCCCGTGGGGCTCGAGGCAAATGATTTTTCTTTCTGATCATGTTTTGACAGTTGCCCTGTTTGGAGGGTGGAATGGGGTAGAGAAAACTGGCAAAGAAAGGCAGATTAACCATCTCTTTACATAGGAGTCTGTGGCAAAGGGCATTTTCCACTGCCCTGATTTAACTGGACAGAGTTCTGGCACTTGGCACCCTGGGGTTTGGGGTCCCGGCTATAGCAAGAGTGGGAGTCCCCAAGAAGCCACCAGTGCTCCAGGCTCTCCTGGTTCCTGTCCCCAAATGCAGAAATAGGTTCCACTGGGAGGAAGGCTCTCCTTGGAGTTGGGGAGGGGGTCCCCCTCTACCAGGAACCCAGAGTTATCTCCAGCAAGCCCAGACCCGGACGGACAGCCACACACCAGCCGCAGTCAAGACGTAAAGAACATTTATTTTTTTGGAAGGGTCGGGGGGACTTTACAGAAATCTGAAGCCAATAACTAGACAGGAAGATAAATAAAATACAAAGCCAGTATGTTGTGGCAAAATTCCAGAAAACACACTGAAAAAAAATCTTTACAGTTTAAAACTGTTCACTTTATACATAATTACAAATGCATATACAGCACATGGGTTTCACCCCTTACTCAGTGGGATCCAGCACAGAAATGTTCACACAGGGAAACACGAATGAGCAGAGGCAGGTGTGTGTGGTCACCTCCTGCCTGTCCCGGCGGCCCCGGCG